ATGCACTTGTGACTAGTAGCGCTGCACTTGTGACTAGTAGCGATGCCCTTGTGACTACTAGCGATGCACTTGTGACTAGTAGCACGGATTGGGCTGGAACGCACCTTTGGGCACCCATGATTTAGCTGACAATGCGCCTTTAGACGACATGCTTGGCTTCTGTCCAGTCTGTGCTTCCTTTGAAGCTAATAGAAGGTTCTTTCGCAGTGTTAGACTTTCTGACTCTTTCTTTTTGAATAAAACAGCTCTAGCTCGCTCTCGGTTTTCTAATAGTCCACCTTGTCATTCCCCCCTTTGTTTTCCCCTGACTAGAAAGGACTGCAAAGCTTTCAGTGGGCTGTACAACCAGGGTACAAGGGCTGTTTCCTCGTTTTATGCCGAGGTTTGTCTCCATGCTACCACCAACCGCCGTGAAGGCCGCTGGTTGGGCAACAGGCACAGCCGAGGGTAGAGACCTTGATCTGCATGAGACCGAGACTGGAGCTAGCTCTGACATCAAGTTTTTCCGATTTTTCGAGGCTTCTCCGGTGGTCGCGATGTGGCGCTATCGCAACTGCGCGAATGCTGGGAAGAAGGTGGAATCCAGGCAGGCTGCATCCATTACGTTTGTAACTGTTTGATGACAATCCGATTGGGCCGAGGCACCCTTTGCAGGAATGGTGCTGATTGGCTTCGGTGTGGATGTCAGTAGCTTCTTAGGCGAGCTCCGTGCTGAACGCGACCAACGACATTTGATGGCCAGGGAGATCCTGGACTGGGCGTGCCTGGGAGAAGTGGAGTCAAGGGGAGTCAAGGGGACTGTCATTGGCGCTTTGATCCACGAGCCTTCCCCATAATTCCCATCTGGGAACTTCAGTCCTTTCAACATCAGCTCAATAAGGTGTGTGAAGCCTCTGGGTACCTTGCCATTCTTTGCTGGGTATTCTTTATGTGATTGTCCAGGAATGGAGTTCATCCAAGGAACCGAGAATATCCAGAGGCTTTCTTTTTCGCTGGCCTGGAAGCTGGCTATTTGGCTGCTGTGAGAGATCTGGAAGGCGGGAGCAGTGGTGCGCTGACCAAGGAAGCAGTGATGCGCTGATGTAGAGGTTTTGATGGTTGTACAGTGACACTCTTTTTTGGTCTATGCTTCTCTGTCTCAATCCAAAAGATGAGGCAAGCCACTGATCCATCCTTGCTGCCTGGACTTTCAGCTTAGAAAGCCTCAAATGTATAGACAATGACGAAGCAACTTTACAGAAGAGCCCATCCATGAGACGAACCCTTACACTAGTGACTATATAGTGGATGTGTTGAGCAAGCAGCTCTTTAAAGTTCAATGACTTGACTTTAAAGGCAGGGCTGCAAGTGTTGACCGTGGACGAGAATGTACCAACAGCCCAACTGTGAGGTTTTCATGTGCTGCTCCCCCAAAAGCCAAAAAGGCAACGTGACAAAACAACTTGCAACCCGCTGAATTGCTGAAGCTGGGATCCTTGGTCGCCATGGAGCCTTCTGGCACTGAGCCGAACAAGCTCACCCGGAGCGCCTCCGTACCCACAGGAGCGCAGAAGGATGTTTCGTTTTGGAGGCCAATAATGTTATGTTCCAAGGTTTAAGCTGTGTCAGCTACACAGGATCTGTGGTATTGCCCATTGAGAAAGGCATCACAGATATCCCACAAATGGGTAGCCTCGCGCGCTCTCAGACAGTACAGAAGCTTGGCTCTTCGCAACTGCGCTGACTGGGTGCGTGCAACGGGTTCTTTTTTGTATTTTGCCTGCTGAGGATTGGGGGTGTGGACAAGCTGCTGCTGGTCTGATTATGACAGTTGTGACCATTGCAGATAGCAGCTGCTTCCAGTTCATTTTGTGCATGCTTGTGAAGTTTGCTTGCTCAAGGCTTGGAAAGTCCCCAGTTGCAAGCAAGGGCGTTCTGCTTCGGACAGCCTCAGGGTATGAGGTCGCATTGGCCGCTTGGCCAGACACAATTAGACCTCCATGGGACGGCCACAGGTGCAAAGCTTAGGACTTAGGACCCTAAATGCCGTTCTAAAGTCATTCCTTGGGAATCCTGTCCAAGTGGCTTTGGTCTGTGGCAGCCAGTGTACGTGAAAAGCGCAAGGTTTTGGTTTGCTTGGAGAATGGAGCCCTCCTTTTTGTGTCGATTTTTCGGGGATGTCAGTTCTTGTTCCAGGTGTCAGTTAGCAAGTTTGGGTCAGACAGGGCTGGAGTCATGCACGAATGGACAGATCCCCCAGGTGGCACCGGAGCACCTGAGAGAGTTGCAGTGTGACTGGGCCAAAGATAAGACTTCGAAAAGACCAAGAGACTTCGTTTGGAGACGAGTCGGAGACGAGGAAACCGGTGAGGACACGTTTGGTGAGACCAAGCCAAAACAGATAGAACATTAATCAGGGGCGAAACGGAAATAGGAAAGAATTTCAGGCAACAGTCAACGTAGCTTCTTTAAGCACATCAGCTAACTGAGCTTTCCGTTCTAGCTCTTAGTTAACTAGTTGTGAAGTGACAAGACCAAGTAAGCAGACCAAGTAGTGTGACCTGTCTCCCGGCTAATCTCGCCCCTCAGGCAGCGTTTGCCACAACCTCATCCAGGGTGCGGTGCATGCGCCATGCGGCCACTCCTTTTGTCAGGCGGGCGTGGAACGGTGAGAGTTGGAGTTCCGCGGGGTCTCAACTCCGGGTAGTTGTCAACGACAAGAAGGAGCGATGACCTCCAACCTGAGGGCGATGGCCTCCAACCTACTAGCGATGGCCTCGAACCTAATTGTAATGGCCTCCAACCCAAGATGAAGAAACAGATGATGATGTCGATGTTGTTGATGGTGCATGATTGCTGGGCCTTTCAGGTTCACCTCCAAGGAGAAGCAGGATCCCAGAATGAGCTGGCAACCTGGCTGTACACAAAGTTCTTAAAATCTACACAAATACAATGTATATAGAAATATATATGTACACGACACGTTGAACGTTGTTGTCAATTCTTCCTTGTGCATTCATGAACGACTCACTTCCTCAGCCGAAATGGGGAGCAGGGGTTTCAAGTTCTAATGGAAATTCAACCCTTCCACACCCTAGCAGCACATGTCACACACGTTTGCAGGGTCCTGTTGCGTCTCAGAACATTTGCTGTTTTGGCTTGGTATTTAGTACCTGCAGCTGCTACAGCCACACATTGAGTGGATCATTCCGCTTGTTTCGGTTTGAGGAGATTCAAGCCAGTCGCTTGAGGGAGCTCACAGAGCGTGGCTTTTCCTTGGAGCGTGCACGCCAAGCGCTGGCGGCGGTGGGTGACGGCTCGATAGAAGAGGCGTGGATGAGAGATGTAAGCGATGTAAACAGTATCAGATGTCAGGGATAACTTAGAAGGTGGTGCAATCCTTAATTTCATTCAGAAGTCATAGCAGCTATGACACAGCTTCCAAGATCATGAAGGTGTCATTCACAGCACTGCGCAGCTGCCTTCTGTTACAGAGGCAGCTGAGACTTGTGTGCGGATTGCTGGCCTGGAAGGGAGAGCGGTTCGTGTGCGCAAGGAGGCCAGAGGTGGTTGTGTGGGTCCGTTTCTTTTTTTGTTTTGGGTTTTTGGACGCTACAAGGGCTCCTGGCCTTACTTCTAGGAGCAAGGG